GCTTTCAGACTGACCTCGAGGTTCCCAATCGCCGCCCTGAAGATGGGGCGACCGATGCGGCGGAAGCCATTGATCTGCGTCGCGTCGGGCCTCAAAACGAAACTGCCGCGGGATCGGAGGGCGAATCCCCCTCGGAGGGCAAATTGAGACGCCGGTAATAAATTTCTGCTCAAATTCGGTCCCCAGACCCCCCTGCCCCGGGGCCCAAACGCACGAGTTTTCTCAGCTGCGTCCAGCCGCGGCGACGACGGCCCCCCCAAATGCTGGCCAGTGTCTCAAACGGCCATCCTCCGAAGGAAGCGCAACGAACCTTGAACCAAAAGCAACGGCCCCATGCAACCTTGCCCGGCGCCTTTGGGCCCGCCCGCAAAGCCGCCAGTCCCCTCGCAGGGGCACCGAGCTCGTGAACCGCCGCTTGACTGTTCTGTTGCGGTGCATGTCTTTGCCGGAGCCTCCATTTGCGCTTTGCCCCCCGCTCAACCCAACGACCCGCGCGACCCGCCCCCGACCCCGCCCGCGCCCACTCCGCCTCAAGAGGGCCCCACGAGACCCCAGGAGGCCCCCGCGAGGCCCCAGGAAGCGCCCGAGAGGCCCCCAAGAAGCGCCAAGCGGTTTCCACGAGGCCAAAGTGAAACCCCAAGAAGCCCCAAAAACGGGCCCAAGAGGTTGCAAGACTGCCTCCGCGCGCGCCTCCTCGCCGCGCCCGAAACCCGAAACACGACTGCCGGGCGCGTGAAAAAGCCACCTCGGAGACCAGGGCCGCCGCATCAACTTCATGAAACCATCCAATCGCGTGGGCCCAAGACCCGGCTCATTCTGGATGGAAAATCTCATCGGCCGCCACTCGCTCGAAGGGCCTGGGGCCGCCGCGCGAGCGGCGCTCGTGGCCGAAAATGCGCCGGTGGAAAACAATGGGCGCGAGCGGCCAAGACCGCTGACAGCGCGGCGGCCCTCGCCCACCCTGCCTCGCGGGGCCTCGCGCGCGCGGCGGCCTCTCGCCAAGGCCGCCTCGCGCGCGCGGCGGCCGCGGCCCAGGCCGAAAGGATACCCGGCGCAAGTTGGCGGCCGCGCGCGCAGCGGCCGCGGCGAAGACGCCTGGGGCTCCAGGGGCCCAGGCCGCCGCGCGCGCGGCAACCGCGGCCCAAAAATAATCTGGAGGCAACGCCGGGCGCGAGCGGCCGGGCTCGCCGCGGGCGCGGCGGCCCGGGCTCATTCTGAAAGCGACGCGCGCCGCGCTCGACGGGCCAAAACCGCCTCGCGCGCGGCGGGCGTGGCCCAAAGCGCAGCAGGGGAGAAGAAAAGCAAACAAGAAAAAACTAACAAAAATGTATATATATATATATATACATATATATATGTATATATATATATATAGAGAGAGAGAGAGAGAGAGAGAGAGAGAGAGAGAGAGAGAGAGAGAGAGAAAATAAGAGAGGGAAAAAAACAAAAAAAAAAAAAAAAAAAAAAAAAAAAAAAAAAAAAAAAAAAGCCTGACGGGTTGGGGGGGTGCGCGCGCCGCGGTAAGTGGGCGCGCATGCTGTGAAACAAAGCGCCAGGACGACGCAACAGGGCGCTCCGTTTGCTGCGCCCGCGCTCGGCGACCACGGCCGCCCCGCTGCGTCGGGCGAACGCGACCCCGCTTCCATGGCGATCGATGCGCAAGCGCTGGGTTGCGCCATGCCCGCAGGAGGTCCGAAGCCAAAGCTGGCGGCCCCTGGCTTTCGACAACAGAAAGACTGCTCGAAAAGCCCCCCCAATCGGCTCGAGACGGCCAAAGGGGGCCCCAAGAGGCCCGGGACATTGCCCAAGAGGGCCCCAAAATTGCCCACGCGGCCCCCAAGACGGCCCACGAGGTCCCCAAGAAGGGCACAGGAGGGGGACCTCGCAGCTGCCCCCCGGGGGGGTGCTCGGCTTTTCGAGGGGCCACCAAGACGCCAAACAAAACCCCTGAAGGCCCCGAGAGCCCCCCAGGACGACCCACCCCCGAAGCCTCGAAGGGGCCCCCAAGAAACCCCATAACTGACACCAAGAAACTTCCAATGGCCTCGTCGTCATCCTCCTCGCCCCCCCCCCCCCCCCTCCCCATCAAGATCCGCCCCCCCCCCCCCCCCCCTCTCCCTCCACCCCCCTCCTTTTCGGCGTCGTGGTCGTCGTCATCCCCCCTCCCCCCCTCCCCTTCATTCTCCTTCACCCTCCTCCCTTCCCCCCCCCTCTCCCTGCCCCCCCTCTCCCCCCCCCCTCGTCGTCGTCGGCCGCCTCCTTTTCCTCTGCCCCCCCTGCCCCTCCTCTTCGCCCTCGCCCCCCGCGCCCCCCCCCCCTCCCATCCCCACCCCTCCTCTTCGACCCCCTTCGCAAACTCGTTTTCCTTCGTCCTGCCCGCCTCCCTGTCGACCCCCCCCCCCCCATCTCCCTCTCTTCCATTCTCCCGCCTTCGCCCTCCACTCCGCCCCCCGAAGGTCGCACTTGCCGGCCATCGTCGCCCTTCTCTGTCCTTTCGGGCAGAATAGAGTGTCTCCTGGGGGCGTGTGCGGAATGGCGAAAGCTTCCTGAATAGAGACGGGATCTGGGCGCGGAAACAAAAGGAAACGCAACAGCAGCAGCACGGGGATGGGAAAACGACAACTTCCGCCAAAACGCGCAGTAAGGACGCCTGGTGACGATGCAAGTTCTATAAGGGTGGAATGCGGAAGGCAACGGATTGGATTTTGCGGGGCCGCCAAAAAAAGGAAGGACGCAAGTGCACCGAGGGAAAATCGTTCCCAGCCCTGCATGGCTCGGACCGCGCGATCGGCACGCTGGTCGGAAGAGGCCGGTAGAAGCATGAAGATGCGAGGCGGTTTTTCCTCGGCCGCCCGGGCCGCCGCTCGTCGAGGGCAGGGCGGCAGGGGCGCCTCTCGCGCTCGCCGCCGCCCGCAGGGCCACGGCGGGGGCGCCTCTCGCGCCCGCCGGCGCCCGGCCGGCTTGGGCGGCACAGGGCGCCGCTCGCATCTCGCAGCCGTCGCCGCCCGCCGGGCCGCCGCTCGCGGAGGGCAGGGGGGCGGGGGCGCCTCTCGCGCTCGCCGCCCGCCCGCCCGCGCGCCGCTCGTCGAGGGCCAGGCAGCGGGGGCGCCTCTCGCGCTCGCCGCCGCCCGGCCGACGTTCGGCGGCCGCGCGGGGCTGGGCTGGGCAGAGCGCCTCGCACGCGCGTCGCCCGCCTAATCTGCAAATAATTTGCGAGGGGCCAGCAGGGCAGGGCAGGGCAGCAAAGGGCGCCTCTCGCGCTCGTCGCCGCCCGCTGGGCCGCCGCTCGTCGAAAGCCAGGCGGCGGGGGCGCCTCTCGCGCCTGCCGGCGCCCGACATTCGTCGGCCGCGCGGGGCGGGGCTGGGCGGAGCGCCTCGCGCGCGCGCCGCCAGCGCCCTCTTGAATTAATTTGGGGGGGGAAGAGCCGGCGAGGTCGCGTTCCAAAGTGCCGCTCCTAGCCCCCTCCCTCCTTCTCTTCGCATTTTCTTCAATCCCCTTGCCCCCGTTCCCCGCCAAGACCTCCGCATCCGACCCAAATCCCCGCCCTCAACCTCATCAACCCCCCCTCCTCCCCCTCCTTCCCCCCCCCCCTTCCCCTCCTTTGAAACCTCCTCTTGCGCGACAGCTAGGCGCCCCTGTCCGCGAGGCCGCTGGAGGGCGACTGGAGGGCGGGGAATTCGCGCCGCCTAGGGCCTAGGGTGGGCCGCGCGGCCGCGGCCGGGACAGCGGGGGGCGACGGTAGGGGCGAACCCGCGACCGACCCCCAGGTCGGGAGAGAAGGAAAGGAGGGCGGCGGCCAGGCCCTCTTCCGCTTGGAAAACCACTCGGGAGCATCCAGGGCCGCCGCGCGCGCGGCGGCCCGACCCTCGCCTGCGTGGGAATCTAGCACTCGGGGGCGCCAAGAGTAGAGCCGCCGCGCGCGCGGCGGCTCTGGAGGGCCCAGCGGGCGCAGACGCATGGTCGGCACACCCCCCCCCGAGCATCGTGGCCCCATCAGGAACCCCACCTGCGACCCCACGGGGCGCCGACGCACGGCGCCGCCGAGCCCGCGTCGGCGAGCCTCTCCCAAATATCGCGGCCCAATTGCGAGCTCCCCTTTTTGTCCCGTCGGGCGCGAGCGCATGCCGGCTGGCGCCAATTTCGTCGCCCCCCTCGCGCGGATCGTGCCCATCCAGGAACGCCACCTTCGGTTCCAAGAGGCGCGGGCGCATTCCGCTCCCCGCCCGCGTCTGCGCACCCTTCGCGCGCCCCGTGCCTTTCGGGGGCCCCGCGCGCGATCTCAGTGGGCGCCCGCGCAAGGCAGCCCACGCGCATTTCGGCGCGCTCCTCGCGTTTCCCGCGCGCCCGTAAAGAGCTCCACCTGAGGCTTCACTGGGCGCGGCAGCGGTCCGCGCGAAGGCACCCCGCCCATTTCGACACGCCGCGCGCGCACCAATTTCGTCTGCGGCCCCAACGCGCGCGCGCCAGAGCCCCCAATTCGCAACGTGCAGGAGTCCGCCTCTGCCGCGCTGTGCGGGGAATCATGAGAAGGCCGCGCCCTGCGCGGAAAGCCTAGCCGAGCTTTTCATTCGCCCTACTATCATTACTTGTGTTATTGGTATTATAACAAATGGCGGTAATGTTTGTAATAATATTGTGTGACTATTATTGGTGTGTAGATATATACACATATGAGGACGAAACGAAACTAATCAAACATAGATAAGCTCTCCATCGTTTGGTTCTTATAACTGTAGAGGGGCATGCCCGACTGAAGGGCAGAGGGCAGCGGTGCGGGTACCTCCTCCCCTGAGAAGATCGGTTCATGGGCCTGTTTTCCACCACCACCACCATTAGTTTTTTTGGGGGAGGTGGAGGACGAGGAGGAGGAGGACGAAGAGGAGAAGGAGGAGGAGGAGGAGGAGGAGGAGGAGGAGGAGGAGGAGGGGGGGGGGGGGAGGAGGACCCCTCCCCCTCCAACTTCTGGCGGCGGTGGTGGAAAATCAGACCCATCCTCGGCAGGGCGGCCGCCAGAGCCTCGCACCTCCCGACGCCTCCCCGAGGCAGGGGGAAGGCCGCCGGCGTGCGGCTCCGCCTCTCCCTGCCCGCTGCAGCCCGGCGCCTCGGCCGCGGGCGGAGCGCGGGGGGGCGGTCCTGCCCGAAGCCCTCGCCCTGGATTGGTGGGCCTGCTTTCCACCACCACCACCACCACCACCACAAGTTGGACGGGGGAAGGAGGAGAGGAGGAGGAGGAGGAGGAGGAGGAGGAGGAGGAGGAGGACGGGGAGGAGGAGGACGAGGAGGAGGACGAGGAGGAGGAGGACGAAGAGGAGGAGAAGGAGGAGGAGGAGGAGGACGAGGAGGAGGACGAGGAGGAGGAGGTCGAAGAGGAGGAGGAGGAAGAGGACGAAGAGGAGGAGGAGAAGGAGGAGGAAGAGGAGGAGGAGGAGGAGGAGGAAGAGGAGGAGGAGGAGGAGGACCCCCTCCCCCTTCAACTTATGGTGGTGGTGGTGGAAAACAGGCCCATCATGGATGGTGCTCGCTCACCTGCGCCAGGCGAGGAGGGCCGCCAC